TGTGTGTGTGTGTGTGTGTGTGTGTGTGTGTGTGTGTGTGTGTGTGTCAATATGGATGGGCGTGTGCAGGCTGAGGGGCATGTACAGAGGTTAGAGGGCAACCTCAGCTATCTGTCCCCACCTTGTGCTTTGAGACAGGGTCTCTTGGTTGTTTTCCTGTGCCTGAACCAGGCTTGCTGCATGCCAGCATCCAGAGATCTCTACTCTCTACCTCTCACCCCCTCCATGAGTCAAGAGGTGAGCCCTGCTTGACTCTCGTCCTGGGCCTCCAAACCCAGGTCCTCACACCTGATGGCAAGTGCTTAACTCACTGACCCTCCTTCCCAGCCTCCAACTTTTTAATTTGTAATTTTTGTTCATTTATTTGGATTTTGTCTTTCTCCTTGATATGCTCTTGTGGTGCTTATTTCTCCCTTCTACGTTTGGGTTTACTGTGTTGCTCTCCTCCTCTCCTCTCCTCCTCTCCTCTCCTCTCCTCTCCTCCCCTCCCCTCCCCTCCCCTCCCTTCTCCTCTCCTCTCCTCTCTCCTCTCTTCCTCCTCCTCTCCTCTCCTCCTCTCCTCTCCTCTCCTCTCCTCTCCCCTCCCTCCCCTCCCCTTCTCTCCTCCTCCTCTCTTCCTCCTCCTCTCCTCCTCCTCTCCTCCTCCCCTCCTCCTCTCCTCCTCCTCCTCTCCTCCTCCTCTCCTCCTCCTCTCCTCCTCCTCTCCTCCTTCTCCTCTCCTCCTCCTCTCCTCCCCTCCCCTCCCTTCCCTTCCCCTCCCCTCCTCTCCTCTCTCTTCTCTCTCTCTCTCTCCCTGTTTTTAATAATTAGAGATCTGAAGTGATTTTACTTTTATTTTCTTCACTTTGAGCCAACCATGAAAACTCACACTACTCACACTGATTTCTTAGGTTGGGGCAGAAGAACAAGTGGCCTGGTAGGCCTGAAAAAGTCGGCATCACTGGGGAAGCTTGCGGAGCACGGACCTCCCAGGTGGCAGGTAGGTGACCTTCGGAGAGCCAGAGAGCTGGTTTGCAATGTCCTCAGCAGCTTCCAGCTTGCGCAGCTCAACCAGGCCATCACCTGCTGCGGCTAGTGAGTCGCCGATCAGCTCAGCTGCCTTGGCGTCACCCGCAGTGGAGATGATGGCTGCCGCCTTCTGCTGCTCAGCCTTTTCCACCACGAATCTGGCCCTCTCCGCTTCCTGCTGAAGCACCTGTTTCGCTTCCACCGCTTCTGTGAACTCCTTTCCGAAGGTCAGATGTGTCAGGGACACGTCATCCAGGAGGAGCCCAAAAGTCGTTGCTCTCTCTGTGAGGTCATTGCTCACCTGCCTGGAGACCAGCTCTCGCTGGGTAATCAATTCTCCGGCATCGAAATGAGCCACCACAGACTTGAGGACCTCTGTGGTGATGGATGGAAGCACCCGCTCCTCGTAGTCCTCGCCTATGCTGGTGTAGATGCGAGGAAGCTGGCTGGCCACCGGCCGGAAGAGGACACGCAGTGTGATGTTGACGTTCTGCAGATCTTTGCTCCCAGTGATGACCGGTACATTCCACGGTCGAGAGCGGCAGTCGAAGATAACTGGCTTCTGTACCCAAGGGATGAGAAAGTGAGTCCCTTCCCCCACCACGATGTCCAGTACTCCACGGAACCGGTCAAAGATGACAGCTCTGTGCCCAGCATCCACGTTATATAGGGCGGAGTTCACCACGCCTCCTGCAACGGCTACAGCCAGGCCCAACTTCCCGATGGATTCCAACGCTCTGGCAGCCATGATCCTTCTGTTGCAGCCACTCGGCCTGCTTTCAGCTTCCGGTGTTTTCTTATGTTGGCTTCACATACGTACAACACCGCTGATTACTGATGTAAGAATTTAAAGTTCTATCTTCCATCTAAATGCCCTTGCAGTTTGAGCCCACAAATTTTGACATGCTATAAGTTCCTTATTGTATAGCTTAAAACACTGTCCCCTGGTGACTTCTAACTGACACGTGAATCATTTAGTATGTTACTTGATTTATGAATGTTTGGAATTTGCCTTTGTATTGTATTAATTTTAAATGTCTAAAAACATGTTTTATAATAAATTAAAATTTTCTAAATCTGTAGACACTTCTTAACCTAACTTTCATAATGACATTTTTTTTTTTTGTCAGTTTAGAGTAAGTGCTGGAAAAGAGGCTTGTTCTTTAGTTTCTAGTATATCTTATAAATATCAGCCAAGTCAACTTAGAAGATGATGCTATTCAAATTTTCCAATTCTTTACCTATTTTAGGAGGGATCTAATTTTTCTATCAATTGTTATTAGATCTTAAAACCTGGTACTATAAGCATATAATTGTCTTTTTCCCTTTAATTCTGTTGATTTCTCCTCATGTATTTTGAAGCATAGAAGTAGGAAACAGCAGGATTCAGCTAGTAAATATTCAAATCTGGGTAAGGCCAGGCATGGAGTAATATTGAGATTATTAATTTTCATCTCTGTTAAATAATGACTGCATGGATAGCAATAACAACATCGTGCTGGTTTTCTCTCATGCTGTATGAATTTATTGCAATAAAAACAGTGTTATCAGGAGAATCGCCAGGCTCTTCCAGAACAAAATATCATTAGACAGAGTTTAAATGAGATCTTTTATAGGAAACAGTTAAAATATATAAACAAAAGCATTATCATTATAAAATCAGAGAGAGAATCCTCTTCCGACTACACCCATTCAGGGGCAAGTTGCTTTCTCCAAAGCCTTTGGTTCTAACAAAGCTGATGGGAGCTGTGTGGAGAACTACATACAGAGCCATCACTGTGTTCGTGAATGGGAACACTTGTGTTGTTTCCTTTTTGTAGGTGCTGGGGACTTCATCCAGGCATCACGTGGGACAGTCAACCACTAGGTAGATTGTGTGGGATGTAGCATGATGAAGGAGAATGAATTCTGTACCGCAGTGATCAGAATATATTAATAAACGAGAAGGAAGGTTATTTAACAAGATTTAGTGGGGGTGAGTTGTTTGTTTGTTTGTTTGTTTGTTCTTTGAGACAGGGTCTCCCTATGTAGCCCTGGCTGTCCTGGAACTTGCCATGTGAACCAGGCTGGCCTCAAATTCCCAGAGACCCACCTGCCTCTGCTTCCCAGGTGCTGAGATGAGATGCATGTGCCCAAATGCAGTAGTGTGGGTTTATTTGCCCAGTCCTCTGCCAAGAATGAATTTTTGTTTGTTTGTTTGTTGTTCAAGACAGGGTTTCTCTGTGTAGCTCTGACTAGACTCGCTTTGTAGACCAGGATGGCCTCCAACACAGAGATCCACCTGCCTCTGCCTCCCTGAGTGCTGGGATCAAAGGTGTGAACCACCACCACCCGGCTAAAATTATTAAGTATAGAGAGCTCTGCAGGTAAGAACTTCAGAAGGAAGTTGTCTCGCAGGCAGGGTAGAGAGTGGGAGACAAAGGGGACAAGGAACAGGTTTACATCTACTTTTTATTTTCTATACTTTTGTGTTCTATTATCTTCTATAGTCATATAGTCACATATTGTTAAATGATAACTATATTTTAAGTTTGAAAAGTAATAGTCCTAAAAGTGATGAATGTGCACTAAAACAAAAAGCAAATAAGCAAACAAAAAAACAGTTAAGATTGGAACAGGATAAAATCTTGAAGTATGGTAATAAGGAATCCTTATGAGTTCTCAAGGCGCTAAGCTCTGAAGTTACGTTCCCACCATCCACATCAGACAACTCACAGCAGCCTTGTGACTCCAGTTCCAGGAGAATCCAGTGCCCTTTTTTGGCCTTTGCAGGCACCTACACACACACACACACACACACACACACACACTAAACAAATTAAATAAATAAAGTCATAAGTCAAGTTTTTAAAAGAAGTAAGAGCAGGGCAATGGTGTGAAGGTAGATATCTGTGAGTTTGAGGCCAGCCTGGTCTACAAAGGGAATTTCAGCACAGCCAGGGCTGTTACACAGAGAGAAACCCTGTCTTGAAAACCAAAAATAAATAAATAATAATAACAAAGAAGCAGATTCTCAGAAGGCAGAAGAGAGGAATGACCTAAAGAGCGAAAACGTTCTGGGTGGTTTAGGACAAGTGTTAGCTTTCCTTGTCAGCTTTGCCTGTGCTTCATGCCTGCCTGAGGCTCTTCATCTCCACATGGCTGGTCTATTTTTGATTTGGGGTTTCTGTTGGTTCAAGAGCCAGGAAGTGTCTCCACATCCAAGGTCACAGAGGCGCACCTTCCAAGCAGGAAGTTCCCTCAGTTCCCGAGGCTGGTCGTGGAGAGAGGACCCAACGCTGTAAGACACGGGTGTAGGAGCTCAAGAAAGCAACCACACAGTCCAAAGCATTTTAGTAAAACAAAAAGTTTTGCTCCTGCGGAAGGCTGTGTAACCAAGCCATATCAAGCAAGAGCACCCAGTGAGAGGAGGGAGGAGGAGGTGGCAATGGGCTTGTATTCCTAACGCAAAGGGGGTCTTGTGCCTCATTGTGAGTGGCCAGAGCTTGGCCTCACATTCTTATCTGATTATCTGTTTTAAAGCAACACGGCTGATAAGCAGAATTCAATTTTCAGCACTGTGGGCAGCCTTGAGCATATATTTTGGTTTCAAGAAGTGCTGACTATGGAGGAATTTGAGTTTCTGCCAAGCAGCTTGCTTGCTTGCTTGCTTATTTATTTATTTATTTATTTATTTATTTATTTTATTTTTGAGAAAGGGTTTCTCTGTGTAGCCTTGGCTGTCCTGGACTCACTTTGTAGACCAGGATGGCCTTGAACTCACAGAGATCCACCCACCTCTGCAGGGACTAAAGGCATGCGCCACCGCCACCACCCCCCACCCCCGGCTCAGATTTACAATTTTCTTAATGAAATTCTGTGGGGATATCAAGATGGTCAGCGGTTAAAAGCACTTGCTATTTTTCCAGAGGACTCATGTTCAATTCCCAACACTCGCGTGGTGGCTCACAACCCTCTGTCACTCGAGTTCCAGGGAATTCAACACCTTTGTCTGTGCTCTGTGGACAATGGGTACGCAAGTGGCGCCCACGCACACATGTGAGCCCAACACCTATACACAGAAAATAAAAATACCCTGAAGATGGAGCCCTGTCTTATTTAACCCTTTGATAGAAAAGACAGCAAATTACTTTTAAATTTCCCACAGTCACTAAAACATTCCCAGTCCAATCTCTGTGCATTACCATCTTTTTACAAAAGCACAGAGAGCTCTAATGAAGTCGCAATGCTTTCTGGCTAGGGCTACCATCCTCTTTTCTCAGCCTGCTGCCTCCCTGTACCCATCCCTTCATTACTTTGGCTGTCCGCTTAGTGACTGGAGGTTTAGGAAGCCTTCTTTCTTGTCACTGTTTAGAGACAACGGATGATATTTTTTCAGTGGCAGAGGACACTGAAGGATAGAAGTTCAGTTTTCTTTTATTAAAAAGGAGTATTTTAGTCACTGTTCTATAGCTGTGAAGAGACACCAAGGCAACTCTCGCAAAAGAAAGTATTTATTGGGGGGTCTGCTTACAGTTCCAGGGGTTTAGTCCATTATCCTCATGGCAGGGAACATAGTGACACACGGGCAGACATGGTGCTGGAGAGTAGGTAAGAGCTACATCCTGATTCATAGGCCAAGAGAGACTCCAGGCACGGCGTGGGTTTTGAAACCTCAAAGCCTGAACCCCAGACACACCTCCTCCAACAAGTGACACACTTCCTCCACACGTCCTAATCCTTCTAATCCTTTCAAATAGTGTCACACCCTTGTAAGTAACCATTCAAATATGGGAACCATTCTTTTTCAAATCACAAAAGACATAGGGAAGACAGGTTGATCATGAAAATGTTTGCCACATAGGCACAGAGATAAATTTGGATGCCAAACTCTCATGTAAAAGCCAGGCATGATGATGCCACATGCCCGTCATCATAGTGCTCGGAAGGTGGAAACAGACAAATTCCTGGGGCTCACTAGCCAGTCAGTCTAGCCCACGTGGCTAGTTTCAAGTTCAGTGAGAAACCTTGCCACAGACAGACAGACAGACAGATACATAGATAGATAGAGGAGAGATAGAGAGATGAGAGATAAGGTAGAGATACCAGTAGATAGTAACGTTAGCTTGTAAAGGTGCCTGCCACACATTCCAGCTGACCTGAGTTCCATCCCTGAGACTCTCCCGGCAGAAAAAGAAACTGATTCTCACAAGTGGTCCTATGATTTCTACAACTCAATACTCACAAATTAAACAAACAAACAAACAAACAAATGACATACTATTTTCTTTTTAAAATTTTCATGAATAAGGTGGAGGGTAATTGGGAAGACATCCAACATTAATCTTTGGCCTCTACACACCCCCACATACATGTGGGTACACATAAGCATGTCCACACAAATAATCCATCTGTGAGCATGTATACATACACACACACACACACACACACACACACACACACACACACACACAAAGGAGCCACTGAGGGATAGGTTGATATTAAAACTAAAATTCCACTTTCCACTTATTTCTTTCGTCTGAGGAAAATCTCACAACTAACAGGAAAGCAGGTTCCCAGGGTTGTGTCTCTTTACTGACATCTCCTTACAGCTACTGTTTGCAGTGAGGCTCCCAAGAGTCAGCGGCTTCACCACACCTTCCCTAAGGAGACAATAATTCTCAACCCTAGATATAATCACCAAGGGCAGGAAAAAAAATCAGGACTATGCCCAAAACCAATTACATCAGATTCTCTGGAGGTACCATC